TATAGGTATCGGTCGGGTTTTTAGATGAAAGAAGATTATTCAAAGTCTCAACAAGCCGACGAATACGTGCAGAAAAGATTAGAGAGCCTAATTTCGTCGAATTAATCGATTGCGTTAAAATAACAGACTCCCCCATTATTATCGATACAATTGGACGTCGGTCGAGCACAATCGATTTTCTCGCGCTGATTTCACATCATTAACACGAAACTCGCATCCGTGATTCACCCACTCACTCTATCTCTCTCTCTCTCTCTCTTTTTTGTTAAATCGGACTCGCGCTCGCGCAAACGAGTATATCGTATTGAAGTGCACGCAGCGCAGTATACATATATACATCCGACGAGCTGTAATTGTATTTTCCTAAAATAACGTACACTTAGTTAGGCTAAAAGCCGGATTAAAAGCCGAGCTTGCTTGCGCCGCTGCAAGCTCCACTGCGGAATGCGATATACGTGGCGGGCGCATACAACTAAACCGATGAGTCTCGATAGTGCGCACGTTCGGAGAGTGAGAGAGAGAGTCTGCGGTGGTCAGTTCAAGTTAGGAAAAGCAAAGGGGGGTAAAGACCGCTAATGATTATACGCGGGAAAATTGGCGTGCACAGGCCGCTGAATCCTATATCTATAGGTATATTATATGCGGAGGCTCTCGTGCTTTCGAGCTTTCGAGCTTTCGAGCTTTCTCGCGGTGAGGCAAGTTTGGCCAGTGGCGCGCTCGCACTGATGGACCGCATGCGTGTATAATACGACTGGCCACGGATTACGATATCCAACTGCGCTATCAAGACGGCACAGTTTTATTTTATTTTTATCTATGTTTTCTTTGTTCTCGAAGCTATACGCGCCCGTGTAAGCATAAATTTGACACGGGTTCGTTTTTCACCCTAAACCATTATAATCGTGGCACTTGAGTTTTCTCTATAGAATGAATTAATGCGTCGTTAATAAGACATCGATGCCGATCATCGCGGGCTGCGCAATTGTTGCCTCTAAGCTCCCGAACGAGAGAAAGACACGGAGCAGCAGCAGCAGCGGCGGCTCAGAGGGGTGCGTTTTAAGCGCATCATCGGTGTAATGGCTTTTATGCACGTAGCAGAGAAAGAGTGAGAATCAAGTTCCAACCCCCCTTGTAAGCACGCCAAAGTTCTTCGTCGAGAGAGAGAGAGAGAGAGAGAGAGAGAGAGAAAGAGAGAGAGAAGAGGCGCGCAATAATGTTTCTAATAGGCGAGTGATAAAACGCGCCGAGGGATTGCTTATGGCACTACAGGCGCCCACCGGAGCAACCCACCGGAGCAAGGGTTAGGCGGAGTCGGGTAGGAGGGGGTGGTAAAAGTCTCTCGATAAACAAAAGCGAGCCGCACTAGCTATCGCGACCTATCTACGTAGTAGAGGAAGGGTTGGTTGCAGCAAGCAGCTCTCTAGCTGTTATGTGTCTCGACGCGCGAGCTGCTCTCGTTGATTTATATACATTATATGCGCGGCGTAGCGATATAAAGTGTAGCGTAGTAGCAGTTAAAGGAGCCGAGGGAGCGAAATGTAACGGGCGGCGAAGAAACAAGATCGAGAAATATACGCACAGGCAGGAAGGATGTCAAGACGCTTGTGCGCGACATTCGACACGGGTTGCGCGCCGATTATAACTTGCCGCCTCCACCACCACCACAGCCTGTGCCTGTCATATTATACAACGCGATTCCCTCGTGGTGGGTAGTTGGATGCGAGAGCGAGAACCGCGAAAAAATGAAATTAACATAGTGTAGAGGGAAGGGGGAGAGAGCAATATTAATTTGACATTTTTCATCGCGCGCGCGAAATATACGCGTCTGACGAGCTTATATATAGTTGCCGCTGCTGCTGCTGCTGCTGCTGCTGCTGCTGCTCTGTGCGCTTGTCTCGTTAATAATGTTTAACAAAGTTAGTTGTGCGTGTATAATGTCAACTCGATATTATACATAACGTACGAAGCTGAGCCGCCGCCGCTGCTGCTGCTGCTGCTGCTGCTACTGCTGTGTGTGTGTGTGTGTGTGTGTGTGTGTGTGTGTGTGTGTGTGTGTGTAAATAGTCAACGCGCGGCTTTCCTCGCGAAATGTACACTGCACAATGTCTCTTTGCGGCTTAACAATCGGCCAAGTGCAGTTAATTATTCATGCCTGGTCTTTTGGTATACTCGCTCGCAGTAGTAGCGCGTTACAACTGCTGCTGCTGCTGCTGCTGTGACTCCTGTATTCGTATATGTGTGCACCTATTCAACTCTCGTGTATGCACGTGCCTACGTAAATAATTACCTTATCATCAGCGCGTATATCATAGAATATTATTGCACCACTGCTGCTGCACGGCGCCCGGATATATTTTGGATTAAATGTGCGAAATACGTATATATTTAAACGACTCCGAACGCAGCGAGTAAATGAGACACTCACGCGTACGTACGGTATAGCGCAATCGTAAAAAGCGCCGAAAATAATATCAAGACTTTATTACGAGTGTAAGGGATCAAAACACGACGACTCCAAGGCAGCTCGAGCACCGGCGCCACGCCAGAAGTTACACGGTAGTATAATTTATGCAGCGCGCGCAGCTTTGAGAGTGGCGCGCAGGAAATAGAATTGCGCGCGCGAGCAGCGAGTAACGACGACGACGACTCAGGCGACGCAGCTCGCATTTTATAAAACTGTATCGAGAGAGAGGGATCGCGATAAGAATTTTTACTGTCCAATTAAAATTTTTGAACTGAAATGACGTGGAGCGAAGGTAGGGAGAAAAAAAATTATAACATTTGATCGTTCGGCGAAATATATTATAATATCTCACGATCTCTGGTTTATATTTGGCATTATTAAAGCGAAAATTTAACTCTAGAGCATTGTTATATCGAGCGAATATATGATTCACTCGAGCAGAGAGAGAGAGAGAGTGGCAAAAGGTAAAATTTGCGAATAATCCTGCGAGGCTAAGCGTCAACCGTTTCAGCCTCGCTCGCTCGGTAATTATGTATAGACACAGAAAGAAGCAGAGAGAGAGAGAGAGAGAGACAGACGAGCTTAATTAATGCGCCTGCAGCAATTGAATCAAGTCACGAATATAATTGAGAAGAAGAATCGATTGCGAATACAATGGCCCAACACTAGCAGCAGCCGCAGCAGCAGTGGCAGAAACTCCTTCATTTTCTCAGCTCGAACGAGTTTCACTTATTCGCACTTGTATACACACTCACTCTCTGTTCGCACGAGTGAAAAAGTCATTTTTTCGACCCATACCGACGACGACGAAAGGATCGCGGCGACGGACAGGTTCACCAAAGCGTGTGACTAGCTCCTATAAGCGACTCCCTTTATATGCAACCACGACCACCACCATATCAATCGAGTCCCGTACACACAGACACACACATGGCTAAACACATAGTACATTCAGTTTCGGAGCTCTGGCATACATCCGATCCTCTGATCCACAACGAAGGGCTGCCACTGCTACGACGATAGTATAGTTGGCAGCATAGAGTCTAATCTAGAAGAGAATAGCCGCTCGCTCGTCGTAGCGTTGTCAACAGGCAGTAGCCGCTTTTCGATCAACAACCCCCCTTATATTCGCCCATTTCTCATGCGGCTCAAGAGCCATATTACTTTTTTGCCCCTAATCCCTGAGAGCTCCTACATATATATGTGTGTCTCGTGTATACCATAAAGCTTCTCTCTCTCTCTCTCTCTCTCTCTCTCTCTCTCTCTCTCTCTCTCGGGCCGCTGCTGCTCGTGTGCGTGCAAAAATTAAAGAGGCTTTTAAGGCCGACGAGGAGCGAAAAATCAACTCGACTTTACTTTCTTCCTCGTACGTACAAGAGCACGTACAGTACTTATAACAGTTTGCCAGAAGATATTATGAATTTTCGAGGACAAGTATATGTAGTATAGTACGACGAGATAATGGGCGAAAAATAATCATTCCGATTCTCCGATAAAAGCTGTAAGGTAAACATCGACATATGCGATCGCGCGCCTATGTATGCATTATCTGATTTCGCCATTTGCCAAAAAAAAGAGCGAAAAAAAGTCATGAACTGGACCTTTATTTTTTTTTTTTTTTTGGCAAAATGTTACGGGTTAAAAGCTCGGAGATGGGTCGAACTATTGTCGTATTTTTTTTACGTGAAAACGTTCTATTTTCGTTCGACTTTTCCATCCAACTCGGGGGCTCGCTCTCTATTCATTTTTTTTTCGTGTGTGTGAATGTCCGGTCCAGTGCATCAGCAAGCAGAGAGAGAAGCACAAATAATCAATATATACATACGGATGGGAAGAAATCTGAGAAAAGCTGCTGCTACAGTTCGGCTCTCGATAAATGCATTCGATCAAAAATGGTATTCATACGTCCGAGGGATTCCCTTATTGTAATATGTGTATCGCTCGAATGCACCTGTATCCTAGAGGCATGATAACTACGTGAAAAAAAGAACTCATTCGATAATAGGTACCTATTATAATTGTAAAACTATGGCAAAGAAAAATAGAATAAAAAATAAAAGTTTTTTAGCCTTGGCTCGAATGTATTAGCAAATTTTCGTCCTGGCCGCACGGCAACAGGAAAGAACCAAAAAAAGAAGCAAGTAACAAGAAAAAACAGCAGCACGTTCGAAAATTCAATTAAAAAAGATTAACATGTTACGTGAGCACGATAATTTGCATACCTCTACGTACGCGAAGAAACGACAAACATTCCCGAGTATCGCTCGGCACGAGCTCACGAGAGTCTCGTATACTGTATACGAACTCTCGTCTAATGGACTACAATGTAAGTATACACACATACACACACATACACAAGCGAGGAGGATGCGAGGGAGGAGGAAGCTTTAACACACAGTATAGCACGTACGTGACGCGCGCCTTTGCTCGAACACACACACGACTAATATACCAAGTACAAAAGCCAAGTGTTTTCCATGTATGCATAGCATAGGCATGTATTATTATATATGTGTGTATTGTGTACATATCTTACCATTTGTTTTTTGCGTGCCCACAGAAGAAGAAATGGCCTCCGGCTGCGTGTGTGTATATTTTCGCTAATCAACGGACTCTCGCCTCTCTCCTCCTTTACCTATACATACCACACCAGCTCTCGTAACTGCCTGAGAAAACAACCTGGAAAAAAAAAGCAAAGAGGGAAAATTATTTCGTTATTACGTGTAGCTCGTCGAGTAATATACCATGCATAAGTTATTTTGTTGTTTCAAAGCCCCGACTCGTTTTTTTTTTTTTTTTTCGTATTTGTTTTCGTACGAACTCTTCGCGTGTACGTAATATGGAGGAGGAATAAGAGTCAAAGGTAGGTTACGAAGGTGGGTTCCGTATAATGCTCGTACGACGACGCACGACGACGATCGAGCTGGAAGGAGTGAAACGAAAGCGACGCGCGTGTAATTAAATCAGAGAGTCAGTCTGTGCAGTATATATGGTGTCACTCGATACTCGCGCGGCTTTACCTCTTCCTCCCTCTATATACGACCTGCATATAGGGTCGTGACACACGAAGGTGTAGCAGCAGCAGACGCACTGCTATACGCGTGTGCACCGTATGGCAGAGCGAGAGAGAAAGGGCCTTTTTGCGTAAAAAATAAAAAAGGAGAACAAAAAAAAAGACATACGCGAGCGTCGACGTCATCGACGCTTTGAACAACTATAACGCGTATCGATTGTGCGTGTGGCGCGGGTATATATGACTCGGTGTCGCCCAACAGTCGAGTGCATTCACTCGAAAAGCGCTAAACGTTGTATATAGAACGTATATACGTGCACTGTAAAAATTGTGCTGAAATTTAATGTACATTTAATGCACATTGGTACATGAATATTAAAGTCATTGTACATTAATTCAATTTCAATCATACCTATTGTAATATTTATGTATAAATCACAATTTTAATATACACATACATAAAAGTTAATGTGGACGTTCTCTTTTAAATTTAAGTCATTGTACATTAATTCAATTTCAATCATACGTATTGTAATATTTATGTATAAATCACAATTTTAATATACACATACATAAAAGTTAATGTGGACGTTCTCTTAAATTTAAATTTTGTTCATAAATAATTTTTTGTGTAAAATCACTTAATTATTTATTACCGATCACATGAATTTTAAAGTATTTGGTTGAAATTTACAGCCTTAGGTAAATTATTAATCAAGTACGTGCATTAAAAACTATGTTCAATATACAGTTATTCAGAGGATTAACATTAACGATGCAATAAAGTATCAAATCAAAATTTTCATGTATGATCCTTATATATTTAAGCAAAATACATTAAAATCGAAACTGCACTATAAATTAATATTGCTGTAAAAAACATTAAAACCCATATTTTTTACATGATAAAACATATCATGTTTGTATTATTTAGAATTGAAGTACCGATGTGCTTGAGTTTTACTAATCTCATTCAATTTTGACTTGTTATTTGTTGAAATTAAAGTGCGATTCTTAAAATTATCATTACTTCATGAACATGAAAATCCACATTTTTTATTTATAATATTTATGCCCAATTTTCAATTAATTTAAACGTCCAGCAAAACATTTTTTTGGCTATTATGAAAAACTTTTTTCCAATTTTATAAATGTCCCCTAATTTTATTATTATTTTGGTACCACATATGCCTTTTTTTCTATGTTCCAAAGTTAATATTTGTCCAAAATTCTGCTAATTGAGAATTTTTCAAAATATTTTTATCTCACATTGTCACTATAGAAAGTCTCCAACATTCGGCGCAAAAAAGTTATTATGCTAGAAAGTGGCCAAAATTTGAGAAAAATACTCTCAAGTGAACTGAACACTTTACACTTGCTCTAATAAAAAAAACTCAAAATCTAATCACATCTAAGTATAATTTCGTTACGAATCTATAAATTCAAATTTATTTACAATTATCGGGCTCTGCTCTCGAGTTACATATCGTGAAATACATCAATATCTCTGACGGAAGTTGGATTTAAAATAAAGATTTGCTTGAAGGCAGATTCAGTAACGGTTAGTAGAAATTATATAAAAATTTTTCATAAATACAATAAATCTTTTAGCAAGATACTATTCATGAACTAACTTCTCATTTATTGATTTGAAAAATGTATTCTGGTGCTGTATTATACTCATTTCGGTTGTGAGAGCCAAGGCCGATGTCACGGCCTAAACCCACAACCAAGCAACATGCACGAACACGCAAATCATGTGCGAAGCGAGCAACGGCCGAAGCGACCAAGTAACGGTCGAAGCGAACAACCAACAGCCGAAGCGAGCGAGCAATGGCCGAAGCGCACGAGGCAAGCAAGCGAGAGCGAGAAAGGCATACACGACACAACTGAGTCGTTTTAGAGGCTCGAGCGTCGAGCAATACTGGCCTGTGTTACTCTCCCTTCCCCTTTAGCTACTGTGGTGCGCGCGAGAGCGGCATTTGTTCCCGAGACGCCAGCAGGAGAGATTCGCAAGTCGCGACACGATTTTGCCTAACCTACTACGCACATATTGAGTCTATCGTTTCACGTTTAGTGAATACGTAATCGCGCGACAACAGAGGACAAAGAAAAATATTTTTTCTAAACTGGACAAGGATTGAGAATAAGGAGAATAAGGTGAGTGTGTTATTTATACATTTTATTAACTACCGAAAGTCTGTACGCATGATAGCAAAAGCATGCGACGGCGCTTATATCGTCGTCTTACGATACTGTTGACATTCATTCGTTAGTTCTGTATTTTTTGTGTTTATACGAGCATGCTTGTTCGACATAGAATGGTCTTCATCGTCGACCCTGTACGAATTGTTTATGGCTTGCGTGTACTACGTTATGATTATTTTATCCGATTCGTATTGGTGCTGAGAGAAAAATTAGACTTAGCATATTTTTTTCGAGAAAAATTCGATAATCATCACCGATACGAAGCGTACTGCGTTTGGTCTGTGAGTATGCGAGTCTTGATCACGTATCAGCGCGCAATGATAGTCTGATATTGGTATTTGTTTATTAGCGAAAAATTTTATTCTATACGATATACTTTTAGATATTAAAAAGTATACATTTTCGCGGACACACACACAGTCGCGCGCGCGACACACAAAGCGACGATGACTGATTTATTCGCAGATACTCGGGGTGAGCATGCAGCCACAGCCGAGAGTGACCATCATGACGCTTTGTTAGGCTCTTGCTCTCTGTCTCTTTTACTCTTCTCTCTCTCTCTCTCTCTCTCTCTCGTTTCGTTGCTTTTCTCGTGCTTAGCGATCTCTTCCTTCGCCGTGTGGCTTTTCTTTTTATTTGGCCTTATTTCGGCCTTATACTCGAAAGACTTGCTCCACACAAACACACACAATACACACACTTGCGCGCGCACACACACATACGAGATGGAGCTAGAAAAAAATAGTACCATACTCGATGAGAGCCATGATAGCAAAAGCATGCGACGGTGCTTATATCGTCGTCTTACGATACTGTTGACATTCATTCGTTAGTTCTGTATTTTTTGTGTTTATACGAGCATGCTTGTTCGACATAGTATGGTCTTCATCGTCGACCCTGTACGAATTGTTTATGGCTTGCGTGTACTACGTTATGATTATTTTATCCGATTCGTATTGGTGCTGAGAGAAAAATTAGACTTAGCATATTTTTTTCGAGAAAAATTCGATAATCATCACCGATACGAAGCGTACTGCGTTTGGTCTGTGAGTATGCGAGTCTTGATCACGTATCAGCGCGCAATGATAGTCTGATATTGGTATTTGTTTATTAGCGAAAAATTTTATTCTATACAATATACTTTTCAGATTTTAAAAAGTATACTTTTTCGCGGACACACACACATAGTCGCGCGCGCGACACACAAAGCGACGATGACTGATTTATTCGCAGATACTCGGGGTGAGCATGCAGCCACAGCCGAGAGTGACCATCGTGACGCTTTGTTAAGCTCTTGCTCTCTGTCTTGTACTCTTCTCTCTCCTCTCTCTCTCGTTTCGTTGCTTTTCTCGTGCTTGGCGATCTTTTCCTTCGCCGTGTGGCTTTTCTTTTTATTTGGCCTTATTTCGGCCTTATACTCGAAAGACTTGCTCCACACAACACACACAATACACACTTGCGCGCACACACACACACACATACAAGATGGAGCTAGAAAAAAATAGTACCATACTCGATGAGAGCCATGATAGCAAAAGCATTCGACGGCGCTTATATCGTCGTCTTATGATACTGTTGACTTTCATACGTTAGTTTTGTATTTTTTGCGTTAATATGAGCATGTTTGTTCGACATAGTTGTGTCTTCATCGTCTTGCATCGTAGACCCTATACGAATTGTTTATGGCTTGCGTGTACTACGTTATGATTATCTTATCCGATTCGTATTGGTGCTGAGAGAAAAATTAGACTTAGCATATTTTTTTCGAGAAAAATTCGATAATTATCACCGATACGAAGCGTACTGCGTTTGGTCTGTGAGTATGCATGTCTCGATCACGTGCCAGCGCGCAATGATGGTCTGATATTGGTATTTGTTAATTAGCGAAAAATTTTATTCTATACAATATACTTTTAGTTATTAAAAAGTATACTTTTTCTGTGTACTTATGAGTATTTGAATATTGAACCGTAATTTTTAGTTCTCAAAACAAATCTGTTGTGGACTTGTTGCAGATTCATAATGTTCTACTGCAAGTTTTGCCATCATACAACTAGCAATTTTTCAATCCATTTGGATCATCTAAAGAACCATGAAAATATAAGCGATCTTTTTTTTTGCGGATTTAACATGTGTAAAAAAACGTTTAAAAAATCCATTTATTTGAGTAATCATTTGCGAAACTTTCACGAAATAAAATTAGATTCGAGCGTAAATGATTCGATACTAAATAGTGCAAATACACACGGAAAATATATATGTACTGTAAACCTTTGTAAAAAAGAATTTGATGATCATTATCTTTTAATTAAACATTTAAAGTACCACATTAATAAAAAACAAGAAGTAAAGTGTCCATATCCAAATTGCTCGAATATTTATAATAAGGTGTCATCTTTGACAAGTCATCTTTCTAAATTACATAGAGATATGGAAATTTTAAATTTTAAACATCAAA